TTTTCTAAACATGTAGGAATACAGTTTAATTTTTTTTTTATTTTTTTTTTTTTTTTTTTTTTTTGTAGAATAATACGTTTGTAAAAGTCAACGTCTCTGTCTATCTTTCTCTCTCTCTGTTCTTTGTGTTCTTAGACAAAGATCAGGCTCAGACGTGCTCAGCTCTGTGTCTGTGAAGAGTGACTGGTCAAAAGATGAACCACCGAAATTCAGTGAGAAAAAACCATCACCTACCAAAAGGTATTTAATGTGTTTTGCATTACAGCGTAACATTAGCTAAATTCTCTGCTCTCTGCTTGACAAAATGAAAAGTCAATTTAACTGCAAGCAGAACATTTAACTAATAAAGAGTACTGTAAATATGTTTGACTTCGATGTGCATTGATTAAATCATGGTGCATTTGTCCAACAGTATCTGTATTAGGTGCTTTAGGTGCAGAATTGACCATAGGAATGTACTATTATGCTATATGAATAGTACATAATTTCAACATGTAGAAGCCTCTTTTATAAATTCTGTGTTGTCACCTTGTAAACATTTGCATTGTGTGTGGTACCGCTAAACTTGCGGTTGGGTTTGCTGTCTATGCAGATGGTGGTTAGCTCAGTATCGCTCTGATTCACAGCAATTCTTTCTTTCTTTCTGTGTATCTATGGAGGCTACACTATGCATTTTGTACAAAAAGGGTTAAATATAAACATATGCCATGTGTTTTGTCCATAGAAATGCATTATTCACTACTGTAAATTGACATGACCGGCGGATGTTTTCTGTCGACACAATTAATTAATTATTTTAATTTTTGATTAGTTGATGCAGTCCTATCATCCATGCATAGTCATGAGAAAGATAAAAGTACGGCTATACTGCATGTAATTACATTAAGTCTCATAATGAGACTGATGAATCTCTTATAGTAAAGTGTTTTTTTTTCTCTGTTCTTTGTGTCATTAGTGTAAGACCAGGCTCATGTGTGTCCAGCTCTCCATCTGTGAAGAGTGACTGGTCAAAAGATGAACCACCAAAATTCAGTGAGAAAAAAATTTCATCTATAAAAAGGTATTTCTTAATTTAAAAAAAAAGGTTTTACTGAAATTTTGGGGGTAGGGTTAGGGTTTATCATGATACTACTACTGGTTAATATAACACTACTAGTTAATATAATGCAAGTTCCTGATAAAAGAAGAACAACTCTGTTATGTATGGTAACCCTCGTTCCCTGAAGGAGGGAACGGAGACGTCACGTTGGATGACCGACAAATTGGGATCTCGCTTAGAGAGACCAATCTACTTCGAGTGTAAACTAAACGAGCCAATGCACATTGGCATACGATTATTGCATCCAGCTGCCGCTGAGTATAAGTAGGCAGCAGAACTGGATAACACTGGGAAAACGTACCTGTACCACTTGGAACAAGAAGCCCCATCCTTCCCGAAGGAGGTTTCGGAAGCATTTACACATATGAACATCCGTTTAGGTGCATATGGAAGATTGGAGGTGTTTGTAACCCTCTTAGAAATGGCAGAAGTCTGCCGGGGAAACACGGGTTCTGAGGCTATACCGTGGACTTTACACATATGGGATCCACTTAGGTCTCTACATATGGAACCCAGCCCTCTACCCGTTCTCACGAATTCATCGGTTGAGGGCCTGGCGCCGGATGCTCCGCCACGTCTGGCTGCCGAGGGGACGGAGGAGCTCAACCGGGTCTACTGTATGGACACTCTGGAGCAGTTATAGCAAGCCGACCCGAAGCCGGGGCTACTCAGTGCTTCTACCCATTTGAGGTGAGAACACAGGAGGATACCGGCTCCACATGAACGCTATAGAACCTAACGAACATGTTAGGGGTCACCCAGCCCGCAGCTCTACAAATATCTGTCAGCGAGGTACCACGAGCCAATGCCCAGGAGGATGCAACACTTCTAGTAGAGTGAGCTCACAACCTGAGCGGGCAGGGCACACCCTGTGCCTGATAAGCCAGGGTGATGGCATCCACTAACCAGTGGGCCATCCTCTGCTTAGAGACGGCATTCCCCTTCTGCCGGCCTCCATAACAGACAAAGAGCTGGTCTGAGATCCTGAAGCTTTGTGTCCGGTCTACGTAGCATCTTAATGCTCGGATGGGACAGCAAAGCTAAGGCTGGGTCTGCCTCCTCTGGGAGCAGCGCTTGCAGGCTCACCACCTGATCCCTGAAGGGAGTAGGGGGAACCTTGGGCACATAGCCGGGCTGGGGCCTCAGGGTTACCTGGGAGTCAGCCGGCCCAAACTCTAGGCACGAATCATTGACTGAAAATGCGTGCAGGTCCCCTACCCTCTTGATGGAGGCCAGTGCAAGCAGGAGCAGAGTTTTCATTGACAGAAACTTCAGCTCAACTGTCTGCAAAGGCTCAAATGGGCCCTGCTGTAGTACTGTGAGCACTAGAGTCAGGTCCCAAGAGGGTATAGAGGGGGGCCGTGGAGGATTTAGCCTTCTCGCCCCCCTAAGGAACCTGATGATCAGGTCATGCTTCCCCAGCGACGTCCCTTCTACGGGGTCGTGGTTAGCAGTGATCGCAGTGACATAGCTTTGAGGGTGGAGGGAGACAGCCCTCGCTCCAACCCTTGCTGAAAAAAGGACAGCACGACTCTGATCGGGCATCTTCGGGGGTCTTCTCGGTGAGAAGAACACCACTCGACGAACAGGTTCCACTTCCAAGCGTAAGCGTGCTCTTGCTGAAGTGATGGTGTCAACTACCTTTTGGGGTAGGTCACCTAGAACCCCCGCGTTCCATCCAGGGACCAGACATGAAGTTTCCAGAGGTCTGGACGCGGATGCCATAAGGTACCCCGTCTCTGAGTCAGTAGATTCTTCCTCAGAGGAATCGGCCAAGGAGGGGCTGTCGGGAGGAGCATTAGTTCTTGGAACCAGGTCTGGGTGGGCCAATAGGGCGCACTAACAGGACCCGCTCCTCGTCCTCCCTGACCTTGCACAGTGTCTGTGCAAGAAGGCTCACTGGGGGAAATGCATATTTGCAAAGGCCCAGTGCATCAGTGTGTGCCAGTGCATCAGTGCTGAGTCTTTCCTCGGTCAGGGAGTAGAACAAATGGCAGTGAGAGGCTTCTGGAGAGGCAAACAGGTCTACCTGAGTGGCTCTGAAACGTCTCCAAATCAGCTGGACCTCCAGTCTCCATTCTCTCAGGAGCACAGCACGTGACAGCTCGTCGGTTGCCCGGTTGTGCAGCCCAGGAATGTGAACAGCACAAAGCGACCTCAGAAGCTTCTGACTTCAAAGGAGGAGGTGGCGGGCGAGTTGTGACATGCGACGGGAGCACAGACCACCTTGTCGGTTGATGTTCGCAGTGTTGTCCGTGCGGACTAGTACATTCTTCCCTTGTAAGCGCCCTTTGAGACGGATCAAGGCAAGGAGCACAGCCAGCAACTCGAGGCAATCGATGTGCCAGTGCAGTTGGTGTCCCTTCCAAACCCCTGACAAACGTGGCCCCCCAGCCGGTGGTAGAGGCATCCGTGTGAACCACAACATGCCTGGAGACCTGTTCTAGGGGCACTGCTGCCCGAAGAAACGCAAGGTCTGACCACGTGGTGAAGGTCTGGCGGCAGGCCGGTGTAACTTGGACCCGGTGAGTGCCGCGTTGCCACGCCAACCTCAGAACTCGGCCATGGAGCCAGTGCTAAAGCGGTCTCATATGAAGCAGCTCCAGCGATGTGACTGCCGCCGCAGCTACCATATGCCCCAGGAGCCTCTGAAACTGTTTCAGTGGGACCGCCATCCTGCTCTTGAATGTATTCAAGCAGTTTAACACTGACTGAGCACGTTCCTGCGTGAGGCATGCTGTCTGTTCGACCGAGTTTAGCTCCATACCGAGAAAAGAGATCCTCTGCGTCGGGGAGAGTTTGCTCTTTTCCCAGTTGACCCGAAGGCCCAACTGGCTGAGGTGCGAGAGCACCAAGTCCCTGTGTTCGCACAACTGATCCTGAGCTAATGTGAGCCAGTCGTCGAGGTGTCTGGCGGCAGGCCGGTGTAACTTGGACCCGGTGAGTGCCGCGTTGCCACGCCAACCTCAGAACTCGGCCATGGAGCCAGTGCTAAAGCGGTCTCATATGAAGCAGCTCCAGCGATGTGACTGCCGCCGCAGCTACCATATGCCCCAGGAGCCTCTGAAACTGTTTCAGTGGGACCGCCATCCTGCTCTTGAATGTATTCAAGCAGTTTAACACTGACTGAGCACGTTCCTGCGTGAGGCATGCTGTCTGTTCGACCGAGTTTAGCTCCATACCGAGAAAAGAGATCCTCTGCGTCGGGGAGAGCTTGCTCTTTTCCCCGTTGACCCGAAGGCCCAACTGGCTGAGGTGCGAGAGCACCAAGTCCCTGTGTTCGCACAACTGATCCTGAGCTAATGTGAGCCAGTCGTCGAGGTAGTTGAGAATGCTAATGCCCTGTTCTCTCAGGGGAACAAGGGGTGCCTCCGCAACTTACGTGAAGACACGGGGCGACAGGGACAGCCCGGAGCGCAGGACCTCGTACTGATATGCTTGTCCTTCGGATGTGAACTGCAACAATAATCTGTGGTGTGGAAGGGACGACACATGAAGTACGCGTCCTTCAGGTCGATCGCTACAAACCAATATCGGGGACGGATGCACCCAAAGATGCGTTCCTGCGTCAACATCTTGAACGGTAACCGGTGAAGGGCCCGGTTCAAGACACATAGGTCCAAGATTGGTCATAACCCACCGCCTTTCTTGGGTACAATGAAGTCTTCAAATCGGCTGGAGGGACCAGCTCTATCGCATCCTTCGCCAGTAGGACTGCGATCTCCGCCCGCAAGACAGGAGCATCGGCCACCTTCACTGTTGTGAAGCGGATGCCACTGAACTTGGGGGGACGCCGGGCGAACTGAATCGCATAGCCAAAGCTGATGATCCGCAGAAGCCAGCGAGACAGGCTGGGTAGTACTAGCCAGGCACCCAGATACCGTGCAAGCGGGACCAACGGAACCACCGCCGTACCCGCAGTGGGGCAGCGAGGTGGAATGCAGGGACCCAACTCGGGCGGCTTGTGAGTGGACCGAAGAGGGGTCTGAGTGTGCGGTGCAACGCTTACCTGGTTCCACAGGTTGGCAGAGGGTGCCAAGGCCTTCGTTGAGTAGGGCCTTCATTGACGCTCTCGAACCGCCCGGTGCTGCCTGCTGGCAAAGGAGGAGGATGAGTGTGGTCCGGTGTTGGTCTGTCCGTGACTCTCCATACCCTCCCGGGACCCAGGGACAGAGAAAACTGCTCTCTTGTCGAGATTTTCCAGATTCTCCACCCGGCCCTCCTCCGGGGGAGGGAGAGGTGCCTTCACCATCCCCCAAGAGCAGCTTCCTCCCTCTCTGGGTCGCCCGTCCCGGGGCCTCTTGCTCTTCTGCTAACCGCCAGGTTTGACGGTGGCCCGGACAGGTGGGGCCCATCTCCATGGTGCCACTTGCTGGAGGCTGCTGCAGATGTGGTGCTAGGCGGATGCAGGGGGCCACCCTCTGTGATGAGCAGGCTGTGGTGCTGCAGCCGGCGGATGGGTGGAGGCAGCAGCTGCCCGCCGGGGCAGGGTGTGCGTCTCAGTCTGCTTCTGTGCAGCCGAGAGCTGCTGGGCCAGAACTTCTGGGTTGTGACCACCCTCGTGCAGGTCCTTCAGTGCCTTAGCCTGCAGTAACGCCGTAGCGTGTAAGGCGGAGGCAGCTTCAGCTTCCACAGGCCGTATAAGCATCGCTGGCCAGACGAGTACCTACAGACCTGGGAGTTGAGGCATGGTTCACACTGCCGGGTGGAGGCGGTATTAGGACACAACTGCATCGCAACCGACCGCTCCACCGCGGGGACCCCCGTATACCCTCTAGCTGCACCACCATCAAGGGTGGTGAGGGAGGAGGAACCAGCAGATCGGTTTCCGGCAGTAAAAGTTGCCATCCATGACCTGGTGAGCTCCTCATGAACCTCCGGGAAGAAAGGCACCGAGGCTGGGTGCTGAGAACCAGCGCGAGCCACCCCGAGAAACCAATCGTCCAGCCTCGAGGGCTCAGGACGCGGTGGGGATTTCCACTTGAGCCCTACCCTCTCGGAGGCCCGGGAAAGCATAGCCGTTATTTCTGGATCTGATTCAGGCATTGCTACAGTCCCAGAGGACAGCAGCGCAGCCGAATCTTCCTCTCCAGAAAGCTCCGGCTCACCCTCCGATGCAGCGATCGACATCCGGTCGTCGGGAGGAGCTCCAAAGGATACTGCTGGTACGCTCCTTGTAGAGGGCCCAGCACGCTCCGTTGGCAGCTCAACTGGTTGCAGAGTGCAAGAGGAGCGATGGTCCCCTGAGAGTTGGTTCTCTGGAGGGTTTGCCATCACTGTTACCCTCAGAACGCCTGTGCTACTGCCTGAAGTAGCATCCGCCTGACTGCCGCCACGACGAGTGCTAGATCGAGGCAGAGGCAATGGAGCTCCGCCCCTTTGAGGAACAGCGCTTGGCCCGCGACTCTGAGATGGTAATTTTCCCGCAATGAGAACATGACTCATACACAAATGCCACCTCAGCGTGTTTTTTAATGCTCAGACACGTGAAGCAGCGATCGTGACCATCACCCAGTGCCAGGTAACGACCGCATCCAGAAATGCCCGGGTGATACGTTGTCTATAGCAAGACCCACATCGTCTTTACAAAGACATAACGTCGAGTTTGCCACGCAACGTCGTCTTTAAAAAGACGCACCCGTGAATGCTCTTTTAGGGAAAAAGCTCTTTTAGCATACTGAAGCGCACAGGGGAGATGGCCGCCTGCAATACAAACAGGGGGTAGTGCAGCCCGATGTGTGCAACCCACACGACACGGGAAAACCACCACCGCTGAAGCGCCGTACCACCAACACGAAGAGCTCTCGAATGACTGCCGCCACGACGAGAGCTAGATCGAGGCAGAGGCAATGGAGCTCCGCCCCTTTGAGGAACAGCGCTTGGCCCGCGACTCTGAGATGGTAATTTTCCCGCAATGAGAACATGACTCATACACAAATGCCACCTCAGCGTGTTTTTTAATGCTCAGACACGTGAAGCAGCGATCATGACCATCACCCAGTGCCAGGTAACGACCGCATCCAGAAATGCCCGGGTGATACGTTGTCTATAGCAAGACCCACATCGTCTTTACAAAGACATAACGTCGAGTTTGCCACGCAACGTCGTCTTTAAAAAGACGCACCCGTGAATGCTCTTTTAGGGAAAAAGCTCTTTTAGCATACTGAAGCGCACAGGGGAGATGGCCGCCTGCAATACAAACAGGGGGTAGTGCAGCCCGATGTGTGCAACCCACACGACACGGGAAAACCACCACCGCTGAAGCGCCGTACCACCAACACGAAGAGCTCTCCAAGAGCGCGCTGAACTCGTTCAGTCTTCTTCTCTCAGTAGAGTAGTCAGAAGAA